TAGTTAGGACACATTCCTAAGGAAAGGATATGGACCAGAAGACATTGCAATTACTAAATGATATTTAGACAGACTTAAAGAAGTTCCAGATCTATACTTGTGCCCTTATTATTTCAGTTATTTTGCCTTTAATGTAAATAAACATGTGCAAACAATATACTTGCTCTTGTGAATTTATTTGGATGTTAATTACATTGTGCGAGCTGTCTCTTTAATACCGCGTGGTTTACATACATGTTGCTGCTGATTGGGCTGACATGTTTGACACACCCACCAAACAAGAGAAAACGCATCTCAAACCCCGTTGCACACCGTTGCACACCGTTTCCAGGAAACATGTCGTTCAAACCGGAAACCGTAGCAAAATGGTGCACACCGGTTTGAGCTTGAACTTGCCCCTGGTTCAAACGAAGCGAACCTCAGCACCGTTTCCTTTACGTTATATCACTTTATAATGCGTAAGCATTTTAATTTTTTTAAATATCGTAATTAAATATTTAGCTCAAATGAATTTTGCACTTTGGAAGGTGTTATTCATTTTTATGACCACTAAATGGCCACAACATAAACTGTGTTGAAAATTCAAACTCTTCGAGTAATGAACCTTTTTCCGATACAGTTGTGTTGAAAGCTTCACTGGTTCAGAATGCTTCACTTCGCCATCACTATAATATTGGTGCCTTTTTCATGACTATTATATTAGGTAACTGGCTGCGCATGTGCGTGATAGACTCCGCCTCTTCAGGATCTCCGACTGTCATTGCAGTACGTTTCGGGAAGCGCAAAGAGTTGAGTGGAACAGGCCTTTCCAGGTAAATAAAGAATAAAGATAAATTAATATTTACATATATTTAGATATGTGTAAATTGCTTCTCCTGACTGTATTAATGTCAAAAATAAAACATGAATAAATTAATAGCGTTCAAGCCAGTAGTGATGGCGAAGTGAAGCGTTCTGAACCAGTTAAAGGCACAATATGTAATTTTCGCCGCTAGAGGGCGCGTATTCAAAATAAACAAATAGACTCAACACAATTGTATCGGAAAAAGGTTCAGTACTCGAAGCTTTTCAACCCAGTTTATGTTGTGGCCATCTAGTTTTTTTTATTGTATATAAATAATGGTCATTGTCAAAGTCATTCATTTGTGTCGGTGTACTGGCACTAAAATAAGTAAAATTAATTAAGCATAAATTCATAAATTAAATCCGCGATCTTTCTATTTGAACTCTGCCTCAGTCCTGTTATTTCATAGGCAAAGTTCATTTGAGCTAAATATTTCATTACGATATTTAAAAAAAAATGCTGACGCGTTATAAAGTAATATAACGTAAAGGAAACGGTACTGAGATTCGCTTCGTTTGGAACCAGATACTGAAGCAGTCACGTGATTTTCATACGAACGAAGCTTCAAACGTCATAGATCACGTGCTTTTGGCTAAACGAATCAAGCTCCGATACAGTGCTTTAACGTGAAATGTGTTGTTTTTTTTGATACAAGCTTCGCAGCTTCAGTGTCAAGCATAACATCACTACAAGCCAGGTTCTTGCATGAATACACTGCTGTATAACTAGACTACCTAAATAACTAGACTACCTAAATACTCCTCTAATGCAACCACGCTGTGCATGCATCCTTTTTTCTTAGAAATGGATAGGCTGATGTTTTATGTTTAAAAAAAAAAACAACGATAAGGAAATGATGATCGGCCAAACTGTGGTTAAGCTCACCTTTAACCATTATCGAGGTTGCTGTCCCTTAGAACGTAGACTTTTGCTGCTCCAGCACAAGCAATTGTAAATTTGCTTTATAAGCCACATAGTTCAACTCCATGACCAGGTGCTAAAGATATCGATTTTTACATGCATTTAGTGCTTCTCTTGAGTCCAAGGATAGACCTCTGGAAGTGACAAAAAGGAGAGGCGTAACATGTTGTTAAATCCAGTAATATCCAGGCTGAGTGGAAAGCTTGTTGTCCTGGCAAGCGCATCTCCACGACGTCTGGAGATTTTATCTAATGCTGTAAGTTTTTTTGTCTTTTTTTCTAGGTTTTTACATGGGCAATGAACTTTGAATGATCAGTGCTTTCTCTTTTCTTGTTCTGCTTTGATGAGGCAGGGTTTACGAATCGAGGTGGTTCCTTCTTGGTTTAAAGAAACATTGGACAAATCCTTGTTTAAGAACCCATATGACTATGCAGTGGAGACAGCCAAACAGAAGGCTTTGGAAGTGGCTCACCGAATGCCATTTGTAAGTTGTAT